CCCACACACACACAAACACACACACACACACACACACACACACACACACACACACACACACACACACACACACACAGTTTCAGCAGAGGGTTAGCCAGAGCAAAGTGTCCTATGACTTGTTATCCCATTAGCAGATCATCACACACTACAGCTTGCAGGATGAAGTGATGGTCTGAGACATGGCATGATCACTAATGGTCAGAGAGACTAATAGAAAGGAGCCAGATAACTCCTGGATTCACTCACCACACATCAGAGTCCAGGTCGTAGGCTGTGTCATTCCATCAGTGTGATGAAACGCTAACCATTAGCGGGGTCAAACGAACAAAACAACCGGACGTCTTGCACAGGTGGAAATGTTGTCCAGTCTACTACAGTCTAGTTTTAGTTATCTGATATAAAGAAGATCTGCTGAACTGCTCTATGAGGAACAACTGAAAATGCCAACAAACCATTTTTTTTAGAAATGATTTATCTGAGTTTAGTCATTTACACAACACTGGGGACTAAAGCGCTTTAAACACGAACCTCAACCAAAACAGTTTCTAGACTTTGAAGAAGGAGCTGTATGTGATAATGCAAATGTCCAAGTATGCCCTGACTTCATATAGACTTGACCCTCTCAGCTAGAACGTAGTCCTTGTAATGTCAGAAAGAGCCCATGAGTGAATACAGTCACTTATTGTCTGGAGAATTCACAGTGAGCCAATACGCGTGTTGATGACATTTCCAATCGTGGCTGCCAGGACATGGGAAGAAAACGAACATCCGCATTTCAAAGTCAAGTCCAAGTCAACTTTATTGTCAATCTTTCATTTTGTGTGTACAGACAGAGAGATCAAAATACCGTTTCCCACAATCCTGAATACAAAAAAATACAAATATATATAAAAATATCTATGTATTTATTTGTATTCGGGATTGTGGGAAACGGTATTTACGGAATAACAATCATTTACATAACTGGAGAGCTGACGAGATTTGGGAAGTTATGTCTGTAAGGGGCCGACACCCCAACTTCTTTAATTGTGTTAAGACTTGAGAGGATAGTTTGAATCATTGTCCCCACTACCAGTTTTTAAAGTGTCTTTTTTGTTCACTTCAGTTTTCTTAGAAGCGTCCCATCCCATACAGCACTGATATCAGGTTTAGTTTTTAAGACTTTAAAGAACTTTCTTCAGAGCTTCAAATTATTCAGCTGTTGCCTTGGGCAGAATAATAGTCTGACAATTCCTCCATCATACATTTATCTGATAAATTGGACCAAATAAAATGACATACAAATGTGTATGAAACAATAACTTTCCATTTACTACAGAATAATTGCAAAGCTCTTACTTTACGCACAAAACAAGAAGGAGGAGGAACACAATGTATATGCCTTTAGTTAAATGAAACCATATTTAAATATGAAAACAATGTCCATATTGAATGTGGAGATCAAAAGTTATGAAAAAAGCAAAGATTATTGCAGTTGTGTTTATTGAGACACTGGATAAACTCAGCATGCACCTGAACTCCTCTGGTGTTGGAACATCATGGAGAATTGTACTAATCCATTGAGGAATATTGTTTTAATACAACAATAACCCCGGGCTGCACACGTCACCAACCTAAACCCTTAAACACAGCTACACAGACAGAGCTTCGCAGAGCGGAGATATAAAGCTTGAAACGCTGACGGGACAGAACAGCAGCTCCTACAGCTTCCATATCTTCCACTTTAGAGATATTAGTACTACCAGCCGACCCACATTACATTTTCCCTCCAACCTGCCTGTCGGAGGCTCACCGAAGCACAGTATGGACACATTTTCCCAGAGATGCTTTTTTTATTTTTAAAATGAGGACAATTTGATTCAGTTATTACTGATGAGGGCAGAGATTCCCTCAGTGGTCAGAGAACATCCATAATCAGCAGTTAGGTCTCCATCCACAGACCTGAAGTAATTATTGTCTCAAGATAAAAACGGAAAGCAGTGGGGTTTTTTAGAGGAGAAAATAAACTAGAGATAGAAATGACCTTAATATTATTTCTCTCTCTGGGTATTTCCAATAAGAGTATTCCATCGGAGGGATTGATAAAAGGATTATGCCGCAAGCTTTATGCGGATGGAGTAAAATCTGGATATGGAAGGAGAACTGTTTGATTGAATAATTCTTGTTTCCTTTCTGCCATCTTAGCAGTCCTCTTAGGGAAAAGTAAAAATCAGCATTATGCCAGATTTATACATGTGCTCCTCTCACTGTCAGTCAGTCTCCTCTACTGCATGTCTGACTGCCGGCGTGCCTGTCTGTTTGCAGGTCTGACTGCTGAGGATGATGTAAAAACACAACTAACAAAATACACATTCAATCTGTATTTTTGCATGGCCACTTATTTTAAAGAGGCTTTGTCACATATTCTAACAGGAAAAGCAAACATTGAAATTCTTCTTTACATGTGCTTTTCTCAAATATCATATTATGAAAGTATTTTATCTTGCACGCACTACATTTAAAATAATGTACATCTTCAAATTAGAAGCAGTAAGTAAACTGCAATGTTACTGATTCCACTCACGGTAAATTCTTCAGCAATAAACTCTAGTCTCACTTTAAGAACTACAATGTCGTTGTTGAGCCCTTTACTCCATCCAGATGCCATTCTGCCACTCAAACCTTATGGGAAATATATTTGAAGAGTTTTGCACATGTGGGGTTTAATTTTCCAATTCTCTCAACTGTCTCTCAATGTTAAGTATCCCTGTTAATCCACTTCAAACCAACCTCAATCTCTCTTATGACTATGAAAGGTTATCATAACCCTTCAAATAAAATATGAGGCATTGAAAGCGTAATTGAAAAAATGCAAGACTACCATAAAAAATGTGAGCTTTCTTTGAGTTTTAAAAGAAAAAAGGTGACATTTTCTTTTTTCTTTGCTTTTGTGCAGGGTAAACATAAAAGTCTACTATTTTTTAAACATAACGTGATTAAAGTAAAATATGTATAGTATAAATATATAATTTAAATTCCACCACCACAATTCAAGGTTAACTAAAGTATTTTTTTGGTAATGCACGATAAAGGGAATGCAATCCCGAAATATGTATGTTGATTGTAGGAAACCTCAGTTGGAGTCTGGCATGGGAAAGGAGCAACAATGGAATTCCATTAAAGGATGCATTTTGATTTAAATTTTTCAAATAACAAAGAAATGTTCATCTGCCATTATCAGGCATCATCTGCGGGCGGAGCATGCTGCCGTTTAGTTGTCTGACCTCAGAGTTTAGTTATCATAACAGGGTGGTGACCTCTGACCCTCAGTCATTACTGCTGCCTCCTTCAATCAGCCCTGCCCCGCTCTCACAAAGCCCTCTGGGAGAAAACAGGCGGCTGCAATAGAGGTGACATTAGATTTGTGTGTGTGTGTGTGTATGTATGTGTGTATGTGCGTGTGTGTCAGTATTTAGGATTAGCACTTTGGGTTTATGGTTAAGATTAGAATTAAGATGAGGTACAGGTGAGAAATTGGGTTAACATGAGCACAGTTGGTGTTAGGTTAAATGGTTACTGCAGTAGGGTAGGAGGGCTTGGATATGACAAATTGAGGTTAAAGCAATTTCAATTATTATATGCTAGTGGATTTAATGTCAAGATGTATTTGATTTCGCACCCTAACAGGCAAAATGTCACCAACATCGATTCGAATTAATCCAAAACATGAACCACAAGAGATTTACATTAACTTTCTTGGGGGATTTGTTTTCTTTGACTTGACAATATGGTAGAGATCTAACTAGAAATGAGGGTAGCATTCAGGGGGTATGACATGAAACAACTATCCTTGTCCGGATTCTGACCAGAGACTTTGACTACATAAAACCCACAAGGGGTGGACATTCTGACCACGTAGTCAAATAGTTCTACTGTCTAATCTTTGACCCTGTAGATCTTGTGCAAACCACAGAAATGTGAAATTCCAATGAATTAATAAATCGAAACATCATTGACTTTTGTATGGGTTTGCAGATTTCTTTTTAAATAGCAGTTGAATTTAAAACAGGTAACATACTGTGACATGAAGTTTTACATTTCTGGGAAAAAACATTTTATTTTCAAGGGCTGTTGTTAAGAATGGGCCTTTTCAATTTGTAAAGGTTGACCATCATTACGTCACTCAATATTTGTCTAGATTCTTCAGTGTGCATTTTTATTTCTTAAGAAATGTCCAAGGACTCACATACCTGATGACATAATGCAACTCAATTGGCTCCAAAAGAGAGGAGATCAGCGATTGGGGTCTCAATAATGATACATCTAAAATCTATTGCAACTCTCCCCTTAAAGGTGTTGGATCAAATTATCAAAAGAAAAGGATTTATCCTAATTACAGGTACTCTAGAGCTTTATTTGTAATCAATTGTCATTTGTCAAATAAAGGATTTAAACTTTTAAAAAAACACCCAAAACCAATAACAATGTAATGAAATGCTAAACAGCAGCATATCAATTAGCTTAAACATGGTTCGTCTCAAACAAGTGGTCAGAAAGAACAATTTGCATTAATCCATCTTTGATAATAAAAGTCTAATAATATGTAATGCAATAGTATAACACTCATAGAGGCTATTTGGGAAATTTTGATCGTCAATGCAGGACTTGTTCTTCTATATGGAGGGTTTTAAAATGATGGTATTGTTGCTGTTACTTAAAGGGGACCTATCATGCAAGATGCAATTTTGTACATTACATTACTTGTTAGACTTACATACTCAATACTGTGGGCAATCCCCACAGGAGCAATTTGGGGTGAAGTGTCTTGCCCAGACGACATGCAGACTGCAGTGGGTTTTGAACCTGTCACCTCCTGATCCGAACACCAAGGCTCTCGCCACTGCACCACACGCCTCCTCCTACAATAGGTGTGATCAGGATGCAGCAGGGCCTTACGACCCTGGCATTTATCACTTTTAGTCCATTATCTGTTGGCAATGGAGGAATTTAATCTATTGGGCCTTTACCCACAGTCATTCTGGATAATAGCTATGGGTTCCTATGTAGAATGTAAATGTGTATTTTAATGTGGGAGAATTACATACATAATATTAAGCTTCATCACCAATATACACATTATTGCAATGTAAATTATAATTGTTTTGCATGTTTACTGGTTTGCTATCTTATGGAAATCTAGTTGCCATGGCTGCCGCCCTTGATTACTGAATTCAAAGTTCTTGCGAGTCAACTAAACTATTTAGATTTAACTGGATATTCAGAAAGAAGAAACGCATTATGGCTTGACTTTTAATTTAGACATATAACTTTAGAGCAGGACTGAGCCGCTAACATTAGCTTAAAAGGGACCTATCATGCAAAATGCACTTTTGTACGTCTTTTATACATGAATATGTGTCCCCGGTGTGTCAGGGAACTCACCAAGTTTCCGAAAACACAACCCT